TTCTTTCTGGGGCCCCCCCAAAACGCCTTTAATTTCCATTTTTTTTTTTTTTTTTTTTTACCAACAATCTTCAACAAAAACTAGGCTTTTTCTATCATGGACCTCAAAACTCTTCCAACCTTTACCCATCCCCCAATTCCAAATTCACTTCATATTTTTAGGTACTTATGACCTCTGGGTGGGCCAAACATTTTTTCCCCCCACTTTCAATGCCACAGTTTCTCTTTTGGCAACATGTGCAATGTGGTGTGGTCTTATTTGACCCATTTTCTAGGCTTCACTATTCTCTAATGCCAGGGCGTCCTCAGCCAGTTCCTGGTCTTTGGGCTGAGCTGGTGTGGTCAGGCATTCCAGCCCCACATAGCCCCTCGAGGCATCCAGGCTTCACTGGGGCATCCTTGACCCAGTATGTTCCTGGACCACACATTTCACCTAAAGTCCCCCTTATATGCTTGGGGATGAGCAGTGACGTGGGATTCCCATCAAACACCACCATCCAAGCTGGTGGCGAAGTTACATGGGGGGTCACCTCTGTATGATTTCATGCCCTTTTCAGCTTAGAATGTTCTAGATGCAACAAAAGACCTAAGGTAATGGGTGGCTTTCCCCCAGCATGTCCACCCTGGCTAGCTAGAGTGGGCTATCTTTCAACAAGGGAAGATCTAGTGTAGTCTCAGGTTATTTTGACAGCCTTACAACCCATGGTGTCCCTGACAATCTGCCCCATCTCCTCTGTTATCAGCTCTGAAAAGGACATTCCTAAGCCTCTCTCTGCAGCTGGAGTGCTTGGTCTACGATGCCACCAACTGCCTGACTGTGCAGTTGTCCTTCAGGCTGGCTCCCCACCTGCCCTCTGAGTGGACTCTGACCTGCCGTGCTCTCTGGCTGCTGGATGGGTCAGCTCCTTGGGCAGGCAGGCTGGCCAGTGGGATGTCAGAGGGAGGGGACACTGAGGCAGAGAGTTGACCCTGGCTCTCTTTCTGCAGGGTCACTGGGGCTAGCTGCCTTCCTCAACTGACTCTGCTTCCTCCCCCTCCTCTGTCAGGGTTTGTGGGGACAGGGAGGTGCTTTCTCTTGTAGGTGAGGAAAAATGTTTTTGCCTCTCCTCCCTATCTTAGGTTCATAGCTGGGGCCCTGTAAATTAGACTAACAAAAGATAGATGAACAAGAGAAAAGCAACAGAAATCTATTAGCAAGTGCGTCATGCCTATGCAAGGA